TCTCCAATGGTGTCTTTAGCCTCCTCCTCCATTTTTGCTTTCTCACTAAGTATTATCTTTTCTAAGTATGTGCATGTGTGTGTAAAAGTGGCTCATATTCCTTATATAGGTAGGTCAAAAATCACCCCAAATGAGCTAGGCTAGTACCCCAATAATCCTCTAATGATTGGATATGAGACAACTTTTAATGAGTTGGAATTTGGATTTTTCTCAGGATTTGGGAAGTTCGATCAATTGAACTTGTGGTGAGATCGATCGAACATGGCTGAGATCTATCGAATTGAAGTTGGATCGATCCTCAATGGCAGCGCCTTTTTGGATAAAATCAAATCTGAGATATTTTGAAGATATTTTTGGGAAAAGGACAAAAGTGGTTGGTAGGGTGGTACAGCTGGATAAGATCTGGCATGTGGATAAGGACAAGAAAGTTCGATCAATCAGAGAATGATGTTGGATCGATCGAACTTGTGGGATCTTTGAAGATGACATCATGGCCTAGATCTATCTTGAAGTGCTGAGATCGATGAAAGTTGGATCGATAGAACTTTTCTTGAGATCGATCGAAGTTGCTGAAATTCCACCATTTTGCTTCATTTTGCTTTACTTTGCTTCTTTCTTTGATTCATCCCACAATTGCTTCATTTCTGCTCTTATTTGACTGAGTTAACTTATTTTGGGGATAAGTACCTGAAAATGGAAATAATACGAAATCAATACAAAACGGAAAAATAAGATAGATAAAGGTTATAGAATACCTAAACTTAAGGGGTTTAAATACGCACTTTTCAGCGCTCATCAAGTATAAATAAAATTCATCTAACATAAATTTATTTATTTTTTTACTATTTAAAATTCTAAAGGTATTTTCGATAAGTAGAATCATTTTTTTTTTTTTTCCATTTTTTTAAAGACAGTTTGTATTTGCAAGGAGAGTGAGGTTAAATCTTCCACCAAATCCTTTTGTGTATATAATTGTATTTACTAGGGGTGAGCAAATAATTTGTCAATTCGGTCTGAACCAATCCAATCTGTGTGGTTTGGTTCAGTCTCAGATCTTATGGTTCGGTGATAGTTTAGAAAATAGCAATCCACTATTCGCGGTTCGGTTAACGGATTGAGTCCTGAAAAAACCAATCCGAACCGTTCCCTAAATAATATATTAATATTATATATATATATATATATATATATATATATATATATATCTATGGAGAACTGTTGAATAAAATTTTAAACTGTAGTTTTTAACTTTTTTTTTTTTTTTTTTGTCGCTATACAGCGGCATTGAATGACCGAGGTCAGAAGCTTTTTTGAAATGAAATGATGATTTTTGAGAATAATATTCACTGGAGCTGTTGGGTGAAAATACCAAAATAGTCATCTTCATTGGGTTGGGCCAGATCTGTTTGGGAACCATGGAAAGAACCTGAGCCTTCACTTCTGTTGGAGCCCAATTTTGAGAAGGCTATGGGATTGACTTGGGCTAGAGCTTCCATGAGGAAGGCTTCATACTCATCTTGGGATTTTGTTGAAGAAAGCTTTGCTTGGGCCTGGCTTTTGGATAGGAGGAAAGCCGAAGACTCTCCTAAGCCAGAACATGATTTTGCAGGGTGCTTTGAGAACCATTCAGAAATTGCTTCTGGAGTAACATCTTTGATAGAGAATTGGTCCCACCATTTGACTTTGAAAATCCTTCCTAGAAGAGGAAGATTAGAAGGGGTTTTGAGGATTTGGAATTGCCATAGGACTATCCATGACAATGCGAAATTTGCAAAAAATAAGAATGATTTGGGAAATTCGGAAAGCGCAGGAGGAGCATGGAATTTTTCATTGAAAATTGAAAATCCCTTGGACACCGTTTCAGGGATGATTTCTTGGCAGGGACCAAACATATGCCACCAGTCAATGAACCATCTGGGGACATTTAGATTGGTGGAAAAGGATAAGCCAGGAATGGCTATAATCCTGATTTTGGAAATAAAAGGTATTATACCAGGCATCTTGATAGTCCCAGTAATTGAAAGTTTGAGGGTTGCGAGGCTGAGAAAATTGCCTCGGAGCATTGAATGGTACATGTGGTGTGGGAAATGAAAGACTCATCACCTGGTTTTGAATGAGTTCGAATTTTGATGGAATCAGTGTCTACTAAAATAAACTCATAAAAATTTTGTGTTTTCCGAAAATCTGATGTTGGATAATGAAAACCTTTGACAAAATGGATTTTGAGAAAGTAAAACTGGGTTTTGGTTAAAAAGCTCTTTTTCAACCACACAAATGGTTGATGTATTTGGTTTTTGAAAATAACGAGATTTTTTTAGAGTGGGGTTGTTGACCACCACTTGCTGTGAAGCAGATCTTGAGGAAATTTGTTTATCTGATGCTGAAGAAATTGCAGCATAAGTTTTTTGAAGGGGAGGAAAAACTGGTTGTTGGGATTGTAAGTATGCTTGGATGGGGTCATACTGGATTGGGGACATGTCTATGACATGTTGGGGAATTGTGGTTAGGGCTGAAAACTGGTTTGTAATTAATGGAGGTGGACTAGCACACATAACTTCTTCATCTTCCTCGACTTTATCATACCAGGTTTTTTTGGAAGGGTTCTGAGAAGAGGATGATTGAGCATATGCATCTTTTGTTTTGTGAGGTTTTGTGCTGGCAATTGAGGCTCCTCTACCTATCTTGGGAGGCATAGTAACCACCCCTAAGCTCCTGCTTTTCCCTGTAAAAATTCCCTGGTGAGAAAATCAGGAAGAGAATTGTTTTCGCCTTTTTTATATTCAATATCAAAGTCAAATACAGAAAGAATAGCTTGCCATCTGGCGAAAATTTGTTTTGAGGCTATGTTATGAACATCTTTCTTTAAAACAGTTTTTGCAGATTGGCAATCAACACGAACCAAAAATTTTTGATTTAGTAAGTCACTTTGAAATTTTGAAATGCATAAAACTATAGATAAAATTTCCTTTTTGACTGTAGAGTAATTTTGTTGTGCTTGGTTCCATGTGCCAGAGGCGAACTGAACTAGTTGTTCCTTGTCACCTGTTTTTTGTTTTATGATACCTCCATATCCTAATTCAGATGCATTAGATTCCACAATTTTGAAGGCTTCTGGATCAGCAATAGATAGGCAAGGAAGGTTTTTTGCTTTGCTTTTAAGGATTCTGACTGTTTTTGTATGCTCATCGGACCATGGGGGAGGGGACTTTTTTAATCTTTGGCGTAGTGGAGCACAAAGAAGGGAAAGATCCTTAAAAAACTCAGAGAGATAATTTAGGCACCCTAAAAATCTTTGAAGTTGGGTTTTGTCTTTAATTTCATCAGGGAATTTATCAGCAAATTGGATGGATCTGTTGATTGGGATGACAGTTCCTTGGTGGATCTGGAAACCTAAAAACCTAATCTTGGTCTGAAACAAAGTTAACTTTGATAAAGAAAGGACTAATCCATTATGCTTGATGGTTTGAGCAAAGACATTGAGATGTTTCCAATGAGCATCTATAGAAGAAGAAAATATTAGTAAATCATCAATATAAACAATTGAAAAATTCGTAAGATGAATAAAAATATCATTCATAATTTTTTGGAATTCTGAAGGGGCATTTTTTTAATCCGAAAGGCATCATATTCCATTCGTAATGGCCAAAAGGAACCGTGAAAGCTATTTTGTATCTATCTTTTTCAGCAATTTGGATTTGCCAAAATCCTGACTTGAGATCAAACTTTGAAAAAACGGTTGCATGAACGAGACGTTGGATTAGGTCCTTTTTATTGGGCAGGGGATACCTGATCCATTGAAGAACTTCATTGAGGGGCTTGTAATTGATAACTAATCTGGGAACACCTCTTTCTATTTCAGCATTCTTTTGGTCATAGAAAGCGGCACAGCTCCATGGGGAACGGCTTTTTCGGATGAGGGATTTGTTTAATAATTCCTGTACTTCCTTTATACAGTAATTAAGAAGTTCTTGGCTCATTTGGCTAGGACGGGCTTTGGTAGGGATATCCTTTTCATTGAAAGATTTTTCATAAGGTAATTCAACAATGTGTTGTCTTCTGTGCCAAAAGGCGTTTGGGAGCTCAGAGCAAACCTGACTTTCAAGTCTTAATCGGAACCTTTGAATAGAGTCTTGGAGACTTTTTTGACTGAGTTGTTCATCAATCTGTTTGAAGATTAGTTCTTATTTGAGAAAGTCTAAATGCTTTGTTTTGCTTTCAATTCTGTTGACAGCAGGGACTTGAGTAACATAGGAATCCTTAATGGTATTGAGATCCTTGGTGTCTATAGGATGAGCAAAAGGAAAGCAAATTTCTTGTCCAACTAGACTTGTTGAAATGCCTTGGCTATCAACTTTGAATGGGTAAAGAGGAGAAATAAATGGAGTTCCCAAAATAACAGGGGTATTGAGGTCTTTGACAAGGATGAAAGGTGTTTTAATACAAAGACCCTGATTACAAACATGGGCTTTGGTTAACTTGTACTGAACAGTGAGTCGTGAACCATTAGCACCTTGAAGCCGTTCTTTGGTCTTCTCAAAGTATTTCGTAGGGACAAGTCCTTCATTGATACAATTGAGATCAGCACCGGAGTCAATAAGAGCCACTGTATGAATGGTATAGTCTTTGTTGATGACAATTTTTAGATTAACATGCCATTTCTGGAATGTTATGTGGGTTAGAAGGTTGATGTAAGTTTCATTGTCCTTGGTGGGATTTTCAGAAACTTGTTGTTCAAGTTTTACAGAGGACTTAGGTAGTAAGGCATCTATCTGGGATTGTTGAAGAATGATTTGACTTCTGAGTGTAAGAATATCATGAGCAGTAGAATCTTTCAAAACCTTGCACTCTTGCTTTAGGAGTGAAATCTCTTGCTTGGTTTGTTTGATTTCTTTATGGAGATCTTGAATCGTAATCGGCATCTAGGGTTGTGTACCAAATCTTTCAAAGATATCAGTAAGGTTGTAAGTATTTGGTATAACAACGGGAGCTTTGTCATTTCTTTAGCCAATGCTGTTGGTGAATTTAATCAAGCATTCCTTGCGTTGATCAAGATCTTCTATTTTGTCAATGAGTTCCAACATGAACTCTTGATCTTTAGTAATCATACAGATGCATTTGGTTTTAATAGGTTGGTCATCCAAAGATGGGTTGGAAGAATCAGAATCATAATTTGTATCAGCATGATAGTCATCTTCTTGAATACCATTGATATCATGGTCGGATTCGTCATCAGAGGAGTTTAAAAGAATTTGCATCAGTTGGCTCCTGACGGTTTCAGGGAGATCGAGCTCATTGATCTTCTGTTTGGCTCTACAATAGTGTTTGTAGTGACCCATCTTGCCACACTTGAAGCATTTTATATCTGCTTTTGAGGTAGCAGGTTTCTTTTGAAAATGTTTTGGAGGAGGGGTATTTTTCTGTCTATTTTTCTCAGAGGAGAGATATTTATCTGCAAATGAGGGTTTGCCCTTGTTATACCGTGACCTGTTTTCGTATCTCTTGGGAAAAGGCTTGCGGTAGTGGGTGTGACTTTTTCGTTTGGAAGGAGGGGTTAGGTTTTCGAAGCCGAATTGTTGGCAGAAAGTTCCTAATTCTTTTTGGCTAGTGGCATTCTCATGCTTGATTTGCTGTTGGAGTTTGAAGTCGGTGCAGAGAGCAATTCCTTCAGCTGTGATGGTACTAATGATGTCACCATAGGTGAGGGAGTCATAAGGAATGTGGCCATTATGTTTTGATCTGAAATGCTTGCGAATTCTCTCAGCAAAAAGATTGGAGAGTCCAGCAATGAACTTTTCTTTCCAAAAGGCTTGGTTACAATCAGTCCTGGTGAGGACCTTTGAGAGGAAGACATCCTTGTACCATCTGAAATCCTGAAGTTTACAACATCGAAGGTTGGCTAGAATTTCTGAGGTCTTGTCTCTAACGATTGAGAGGTCACCGAGGAATTGTTTGGCGATAGAGAAGATGAGAGTAGCAACTGCATCTTCTATATCTTCACCTTCTTCTGTTTTGATAATTGTTCCTTCAGGAGTTGTTTTGACAGAGTTAAGAATGGCTTGTCGTTTATCTGGAGTGAGGATGTTTTCTTCCTTAGTCTGTACGCTAACATTGTCCTGGTAAATCGGGTTAGCAACTTCTTTGTTTTTGACACCAATGAGGTTTGGATACCTTGTAGGCATTCCTGAAAATGATTTTCGGGAAGGGGTTTTTGAATAGTTTGAGAGAGTAGTATGAGAGAAAGAGGATCTAGAACTTTCTATTTCTTGGATAGAAGGTCTAGATCTTTCTATTTCTTGGATAGTAAGTCTATTGGGCCTGTTGGAGTTAAATCTAACCTTTACCGTGCCATCTGAAAATTGAGATATTTGTTCCAACCTTTTATGCTCGATCTTTGAAGGAGGGGCTGCATGGTCGAGAGTCCACTTTGTCGGGAAGGTGACTTCATTCTAAGTGATGGTCCTCGGAACATAAGTTTGTGAATTTTCGTCACTAGCATGAAGAAGAAGGGTTTCTCCTTTGGGAGACTCACGAAGAGCATGGGGGCTGACTTGGGTTGTATAGACTTTGTAGTGGATTCTATAGACAACATTGAAGGGTATGGCTCCATCCATCATTTTGTAACCACTACTTGAAACATTGAGGGTTAAAGTATGGAGGATTGTTGGGTCATCAAGAGCTACTGAATAATTTGGAAAACAATTGAAGTATTGTGGGCCATAAAAAAGACTAGTTTGGCAAACTCCTAACAGAGAGGTTTCAAAATCGAGATGCCTACAATCCCTTAGGGGAAGCATGATAGCAGTGTTAAGTCCTCTTGATATATATATATATATATACAATATTGAATATACTTACTATATTTTTATATATTTTTTTAATTCATTATTCTATTTGGATAATTTATATTGCCAGTTATTAAGTATATAATTTACAAATCTATTGCTGTTATTTGGTATATGATTTACAAATTTTATTGCTATTAGTGTTAGCATGTTACCTGGTATATAATTTACAAATCTATTTTAATTTTCTAGTTTTAATTACTAGTCCATTAAAATATCAAATAATTATATTGGGCTATTTGAAAAGCCCAATCCGCCCAAACCAATTCGTTATTTTACGGATCGGTTTGGTTCAGATTGAAGGTTCTCACGGATCGGTTCGGTTTCAAATTTCTCCAATCCGTAGGGACTGGTTCGGATTGAACTTTACATCAAACTGAACCGATCCAATCTGTGATTACCCCTACTATTTACCATAAATAAATAACTAATACACTTTAAATAATAAAACATTTAATTCACATAAATAATTAATAACACATCAAAAAAATAATAGAACATTAAATACACATAAATAAAAAATTTAAATTAGTAATTTAAATCAATTGGTTAGTGCCTCCAGTAGACTTTCGAATGCCAGGCTTAGACTCTCTTTATCTACTAATTTAACTTGTAACTCTTCTTGCCTTGTAAAAAAAAGTGTATATATAGAGGACTGGTCAATGTAGCTGTAATTTATTCTTTCCTTTTTCACTTTTGTTCATTGTCTTTTAATGATTTATATATAGACACTTTAAATGCAAATTTTTATGACTGCAAGTGTTAATTGAAATAAAATTATGGAATCAAATTTTAGTTAAATTAAAATTGTTGAATTTGTTGAGTTATAGTTCCCCCCTTGGGCCATGGTTGTGTAGTAGTTAAATGACTGGTTAAACCGTAGATATAAAATTCTTGGGAGGGAGTAAAATATCATCACAAAAGTTCTCAGATTTTGAAGAAAAACTTGATAATAAACATAAATGGTTCAATGCACTTTTTTTAAAGTTCAGACAAAAGAAATCAACAAACAGTTAACTTGACTGGCCCTATATTACTATATATATATTTATCTGGCCTATCATCAGAGTAAAGAAAATCTAAGGTTAATCTACACAGAGAGAAGAATTACCAAATCCAAAATCTTCCGTGTCTCAGATGTCAGAAGTCGTTTATTTCAAAGATGGAAAGTGAAAGGTGAGTGTCCCAAAAAAAAATTAAATTACCAACAAAAAAATAAAAAATAAAAAAGAAAAAGGAAACCACAACAGATGAAGACCTAGAATATGTTAATAAAACATCTTCATAAACTCAAACTCCAAATCTTCCATTATCACTATCTCATCACAAACTCTCTTCATTCACCATTGCCACTCTATCACCCAGGACTTTAAAATACCTTAAACAACTCTTTTTCCCTACAAGATAATAAAAAAATCAAAAATCATGAAATACCCATGCATATCATTATGCTATTATTACACTAAGTTGAAGGGGCCTCCCATACACACAAACAAATAAAAAAATAAGAAGGATTAAGGGGCCTCTTTGATGATTTTCCCATATTGAGAGGTAAGAGAATCTCACATAAAATAATAAAAGAGGCATTTCAATTCTCATGAAAGAGGTCAGTTCCATATCTTTGTTTCGTGAACTAACAAATGCAGTTGCAAAACAGATTATATAAATATACATATATCTTATCTTGATTAATAAACATGAGATAGTGCAGTCTTACGAAGCCTTAAACGGACCAACCAGCACAACTGTTGCAAAGATGGATTATGTTTATATAGGAGACCTTATGATGATAAAAGTATTCCCAGCCCTCACTAAAAAGAGTATTATTCATGATACTGAGGTCAGAGGTCTATGTTACCTAGCACATGCTGGAAGCCTAGGGGCCCGGGAAAGCAACTCAAATCCAATTATCTTACAGCACGCAAATGAGCCTATTCGGGATCCTATAACATGCTACAGTTAAAGTTAGTTGAATGTTTATAGCTGAGGTGCACTTTGCTACGAGAACAACACGAGTATGAGCTAAAAACAAATTTATCATACCACAAAAAGACAACTTATGCGAAACAACCACAATAATTATTAGAACCATGATATTCTGTGAAATAGCGTATTCGAATGGGGGAGTTCGCCAAGTAGCAAAGCAGAAACAAGCCAACAACTAGGCAATAAAATTGAAATTCAATTTTTTTTTTTTGATATGATAATTCAAAATTAAACTAGATTTGACCAAAAGGCAATCAAAAGAAATCAGTCTATACTCAATTTCCAAGCACAATTGGGACGATCCAAATTGCAGGTGGCGTGACCCTCTGTGAAGGATCAAGAATGTAATGTGTGCCAAAGCTTCCATTCTCTACATTGAAGATACCAATATCACGGCGCCCATACGGTGGGTAAGCTAAAAACATACAATAATCATTGGTGTAATATATGGAATTTGGCTGGCATCTAGGGAACTTTGAAGCTGAAATACGAGTAGAATGGCTATCTCCCAAAAACATTGCATCTCCGCCCAAGCTCTTCACTTGAATCCGCTTAGCATAACCCTTCTTGTGTGGCAGTTCAAGCAGCTTGAAAACCTTGAAGCCCAAAGTTTCATGTTGTAAATCATCTCCTATTTCTTTCATAAACCGTTGCACAAAAAGCAAGTCTCCACTAGATGATTCCACGAGATATGTATGTTCTGCAAACAGTTTGGTCCTTGGTGCAATTATTTTAACTTTGGGAGCTTTACATGCCCCGTCCCTGCTATTCACATCAATCCTTATGACTCCACCCCAATAATCAACGGCAAAAATTTGGCCTTTATAATATATGACATCAAAGATTAAATCAAACCTCTTATTCTCTATATAAGTCCAAGCTTTGTCACCAGATTGAAAGAATGCCAAACAGCGGCGATCATCATAGATGGCGGTAACTATGTAGTCATCGGGAGACAAAGCAAGGTCAGCCGACCATATAGCCTTGTAAACTAGGTACTCATAAAAAGGAGGTTCGTCAGATCTATCGACTTCGTCTTCTTCTTCTTCTTCTTCTTCGAATTTTGGGAGGTCCTTAATGGGAGGAAGCCCAATGGTAGAACCAGAGAAAGGGTTTAATAGAGTTACACTCATGTTTTCTTCAACAGTGAACAACCAATCATACGAAGAACCACAACACCTCTTTTGTAAGGTACCCCTTTTGTAAGGTACCCGTAATTGAAAATCATATATTTTGTTGTAGGTGATGTTGTATAGACTGCGCCTTATTCGCTATTATCTTTTGTAGGGACCATCAACAATGGAACTTGTGTGTGGCATTTATTTTTAACATATTTAACTTTGTTCTCCATTGCCACATATCGCCATGGTTTGCAGACTGCACCAAACCGAACATAGTCCGATTGTGTATCTAACCTGTCCATAATCACATCCAGTAAGTTCTTAGGAAGCCATGCCCAGTCGGACTCCACCAACGAATTCATATCAAAAACCATTTATTTATTTGCACTTTAGCGCTGCAAGCTACGTCAACAAATCTACAATATGAACAAGCAAGAGAACCTAATCAATTACAAAATCTAGTGAGTTTTCAGAACAAAAAATAATATCTACCTCGGAACAAAATAACGAGAAGCCCCAATGATAACAAAACAAAACAATGTAACCCAAACCAAATCTAATTAGACATTGTTTAGGTGAGAGAATCGTAATAGGATTAAAATTGATGAAGATTTACCTAAAGTTTGTGTGATGATGGATACTGTGATGATGGATACTGACTTATTATCCCGTGTGTGTATATATATATATATATATTTAGTGCCATAGACAGCATAGACTTGTAAACGGATCTGCAATTAGGAAATTAGATAGAAATATAGAACAAGTAGAGTGGCGATTAAAGATTTAAACTTTACTCGAAGAAATTTGGTGTTAAACAATCTTAAATAAGAAAATTAGGGCTTCAATGCAAAAGAAGAGACGGAAAAGGACAGACAAGAAGAAAACAGAATGCTCAGTGTTATAAAAATCAGGGCTTCAGGCGAGAATTTCTCGATCTTCTTCTGACTCTAGACCATCCGTCGGCAGGTTCATGACCTCCCCTTCCTTGGTTTTATAAAAGTGCCTGAGAGTAGTACTACTCCTATTTGGATCTGGAAGTTCGTTTCCCTGTCAACCTTGAGTTTTATGTGTGTGTGTGTGTATATATATATATATATTTATTTATTTATTTTTATTTTTATTGGGTATTTTCATGTTCCATTCTAAAAGGAGTAATAATACTCTGTTAGTAATGAACTAAGTTCTCCTATTTCACGCGCAAAGGAATTTTCCACGATAAAGTGATGAGGTGGACAGCCACGTGGGATTGGGACAAAATAAATAAAAAATAGGATAAATTACAATGACTTCCCCTGAAGTTTAGACTAATTACAACTAAGAGTTGATGTTTGCCATTTTGTTGCAAAGACTCCCAATGTCAGATTTTGCAATAAATTTACATATCTACCCTTATTATTATATTATTAAAAAATTAAAATATTTAAAAATAACAAATGACCCTTCTACACACGAACATTTTTCCTTTCTCTCACTATTCCTCTTCCCTCTCCATCCCGACTGACCATCACTGGTGCTATCAATTGCAACTTCCATTGCCAATCCAAAGACCCACTTCCAAGTTCACAACAGATCACTAAATACCACCCATCACCACCACCAACCACCGTCTCCACCTCCTTGTAGACGCCACAACAGCCCATAATTCTAATCTCATCTACATAATTCGAGCCGACAAGAAGGGCAATTTCGCAATAGCCTTGCCTTCGAACAACTAATTGAACAATTCAAACACAACGAACAAGACTAAGGCAACCACAACACCCTGACTTGAATTCGAAGAGAGAGATTGCGACTCGATTCCTTGAGATTGGTCTCGATGCGATCGATCTTCTTCGGTTTGGATACTTTGACGGTGAGTTTTGTTGGGTTTGAGTCGGTCTTCATGGCTGGAGCTTCTTGGAGGCTTTGTCGGTGGAGGACTTGAGGGATTTGTAAGAGGAGGTTCGGTAGATAAGAAACTACGACATGGCTTCGCAAACCATGGCGATGCAGAAGGTAATTCCGATGAGGGATACAGCGGCGCTATACGCCGGAGATAGAGATGATTGTATACGTGGAGGTGGAGGTGGAGGCGGCAGCGGCCTCGCTGTTCTTCGCCTCGTCGCTGAGCCCGCCGTCGACGAGGTAGTACGCCGCGATCATTGAACATGACTTTTTCCCTGGTCTGATCTTTATATAACCATATATGTAGTATATATATGTGTGTGTGTGTGTGTGTGTGTGAATTTTGCACACAAAACACTTTATTAGATTTTGGTGGTACATATGGATTTAGCAGAAGTGATGGGGGCAGTGGAAAAGTAGAGGTGGGTTCGGATTTGAATAGAGACAATGGTGAGTATGTGGTTTAAGGGTAGTTTGGTCCACTTAAAATGAGACCATGTTTACATTACAAGGGTAATAGCGTCTATTTACATTGTTGATGGGTATTTTAGTCACTTCAAACTAATTTTCTGACAAAAAGGGGAGGTCATTGATAAATGAGGAAAACTTTAAGGGGCCATGTTGTAACAAAATGACAAATCTCAAATTTAATTATAATTAGACTAAACTTCAAAGGATAGGACGTCATTATAATTTGCCTATAAAAATACCCAAGAAGAAGAGAAGGGAAAGGACTTAACTATAATATAATAGAAATATTAAAACGAGAATTATTATATAATAAATCAGCATGGGGCATTTTTAAAATATTAAAAGTCCAAAAACAAAATAATATAAAAAAACCGAGTGAACGTGTAAACTAACTGTATGTTTATATGTGTCCAAAAAAAACATAGATTAAGATCTGATTTTGGGCAAAAAAAAAAAAAAAAAAAAAAAAAAAAAAAAAAAGAGGGAGAGGGATGTAAAAAATTAGTAAATGATCTTTGTTTATTTGATACTTGATAAACTAATTTAATAAAAACTTTCCAATCATGAAATTCTGTAATTTATTAATATACTTTTGTTAAACTATTTTTTTAATTTAAGATTTTATATTTAATTGGCCCACCAAATATTAATGGTTCAAAATTATTTAATAATTTTTCTAAATTTACAGAAGTTTTCAACGGGTGATTAACAATGAAACCCTTTTCGACCAATGGGCGATAGTTGGTGTAGCTCAAGAACCCACAAGCACTGGTGGTCCAGAACAGAACATCCGGAATACCCAATTCCTCGGCGACCTTGAGGGTGAAGCTCATGACTCTGTCGGAAGCTACGCAAGTCACCGGAGGGACGTCGTCCGACTAGTTGAGTTTTCCGAGCAGGTCCCTGAAGGGAGCGCCACAGTTCTTGGGCATGGACTCACAGAGCTGCCACGCGTCTTGGGTGATGTCTCCGTCTACGGGCGGGAGGCAGTCGGGAATGGCGGCGAATCGGAACGACGGAAGGCCGTCGAGGGCGGTGGGTCCCCGCGAACGGAGGAGGCGTCGCTGGTTGTACTCGGTGTTGACGAAGGTGACGTGGAAACCTCTGTAGTAGAGGAGCTTGGCTATCTTGTACATGGGGAATACGTGACCCTGTGCTGGGTTGGGCATGCACACCGCGTGAGGTTTAGGCTTCTGATCTCCTCCTGCATGCCATCGCGTTCTCACACACATTATTGTTATAGTGAGACACCAACAAAAACTTGACTCAAATTGAATTATTTTAGTCACCAACGTCCCAAGTCCGGCACTGAATTGCAAGCAGCTCTTAGATCCTCTCTCCTGCAGTGCAGTCGTGCTAGCAAAACTGTTCGACAAGTGGTGCGATGTGCTCTGCGAGTCGGCCGTTCGTTCTAGAGTCGGAAAGATGTTACTGCCCGAATCGTGATTGCTCGGCTCTGGTTGTGAACGAATGTGGAGGGAATGTTAAGAAATCAGTGTGTCACAATTTCAAGAGGCCGTTCTGTTTCCACTGCAAACTTCCATGGCACTCCGGCTATCGATGCGAAGAGAGTCGAGAGATTAGAAATAGGAATGATGTTCAGTTAGGAATGATGTTCAGATGTCCCCGCTGCCTCCATTGCACTGAACGTTTTACAGGTTGCAGAAGTGTTATATGCAGGTACTCACTCTTTCTCTGTCCCCATATATTTTGTACTTAAAGCAATCAGTTTGCTATTTCACTTTCTTTTTTTTCATTTCAAGTCTGCTTTTCAAAAACCTGAAAAAAAATGAATCCTCTCTACAAACCCAAAGCTTCCAACCATGGAATCCAACCTTCACTAAGGAATCCGATTGCAAATCACCTTAAACCTCCATTTATTCCACTGATCCACCACAACACTACACCATCATACACCCCAAAATCCTTGAAAAAACAAGTAGACCTTAAAAAATCCACTACAAAACCATTACAACAGCCAAAGACTTCAACTGCCAAACCATTAAAGCAAACAAATACAACCCATTCACATGGTCAAACAAACCAAGCCTTACCACCCTCGAAGCAAACATCTCCTAAATTGATAGTCAAAAAATCAACAGCAGCTATACCTTCCCTCACACAGGTTTATCCACCTCCAATTCCATCCTCAATTTCAGGTCAATCACACTCTCATTTTCCTACACCCACCATAAAACCCATACGGCCAACCAATAATGCCATACAGAAGATCACTAACAGCTCAAAGGCAGCTCACCACCAACCTCCATCACCAGGAAACTTACCAAGGAATTTCAACCCACTGCTGCACTCATCTCCAGCTCACCAAATTGATAAGCTGCAAGAACAACTTGAATGGAAGGATGAAAATTTGGGAAGAGCAATGGAGATGTATGATAATTAGAAGAAGATCAATGCTGAACTGCAAATGGAGCTCGACAAGATCAGGCTACTGATTAGCCACCTACAGCAGCCACCGACCACCACCTCCGCAGCCACCACCCCCTCCTCCAACGGCACTAACCATGACACAATGGTGGGTTCAGGTTTGTCCCCAATTTCAAATTTGAATCCCATACACAATGCTTTACTTACATCACCAAGGAAGGTAACTGCTCCACTGCAGACATCAGTTCAAAACACTATTCCTACAGCTAAAAATGGTAATACCATTGACCACTTTCCACAATCTACCACAAACATCCAACAGTCCCCTACCACTACATTAAATGCTATACCAGACTCAAACCTACAAATCACTGGAAACACTACATCCATCCCACTGCAAACCAAACCAAATACTCAAGGGACAAAACCATGGACTGATGTAGTAAAACAAAATAGCAACAAAATGGTTCTTAAATTTTACAACCCCAGTTCACACTCTCCATTCATCATTGATCCTCCTCAAGAGATTGCTGCAGAACGGTTAAAATTTTGGGGTTCTCTCCACCTGGTTGGAAAATCATTCCACAAAAGACTTCCCTTCAAGGTGGTCCAAGCTACTGCAGCTAAACTTTGGACATCTCATGGTCTTACTCACACAATTTTGGGAGAAAAAACATTTTCATATTTAGATTCAGCTCTTCATCCCAAACAGAGAAGGTTCTCTCACTTGGACCATGGTCCATTGCTGGACACCCCTTCTCCTTGATGAGATAGACCAACCAAACACATACACAACTATCAACCATTGCCAGTATTCCAACTTGGATCAAATTCTTCAACATCCCATTAGAATTTTGGACAGTAAACGAACTCAGTTACATAGCTAGCTCAGTGGGAGAACCTTTATATGCAGATCAAGCAACTGAAGACAGAACCAAACTCAAATTTGCAAGGTTGTGTGTAAATGTTGACCTCAAGAAGCCTCTGAAGAATGAAGTCTAACTCAGAATGGATGGGAACTTAGTTGAAATTAGATTTGAATACCAGTAGTTACCAAAATTCTGTAGTAAGTGCCTCCAGCTCACTCATACTGTCAGCTCCTGCCCACTAAATATCATACAACCTCCACCGCAATAGCAAAACAATTCAGCTTAACCACAGTCCAGCCATCCAAGGATTGAACATAACCCAACAATACAACTAGCCACAGAATGGGTGACCATCAGGAGGAAAAGAACAAACCACAAGTCAACAAAGGCCAAACATCCAAACAATTACCCCATGCCCCTAAAACAAAACAGAACAACAACCAATTCCAACCTCTAGCATATCCACAACCACACATAAGCCAGAAGAGCATTACAAATCTCACTTCCCAACCTTTATACTACAATTCCCCACCAAAAAACAATACCTCAATTGACAAACCCATTATGAGAAATCACTCAGACTCCCCTACACATACTCCTCCCTTTTCACTATTGTGCAGCAAAAAGTTAAACTTCTCTCATAACAACAGCCCACTCACTCTAAGTAACCAAATCCCAGTACCATCCTCCTTGCCAGTTATGCATCACCATTACTCAACTCCACAACCAGAACACATCACACCTACAACATACCCCCAGTACAACAAACAGAACAAGAAAGCACATCACAAGTCCCCAGCACACTTATCAAAGCCTGAACTGAGACCTTCACCACCTCATCATACACCACAGACTCTTACTCCAAATAGAGGGACAACCTCTATACAATCAATGAGAAGTTTGAAGAAGGCTGCAAGGAAGAAGAAGAGTCCCTGTAGTGATTTGATGTTTGTGAGACATCTCGGAGGTTCTTTCTCTCCTCCCTTTAAATGATCACACTCCTAACATGGAATATTAGGGGGTTAAACCAACCCTCTAAGCAAGCAGAGATTAAGAGACTGATCTTTGAAAAGAATATTGATATAGTCTCAATTGTGGAGAACAAAGTGTCTCCCACAAATGTTGCAGCAATTCATAGGAATCTTGCTCCTACTTGGAGTATGGTACAAAATTACACTTTTTCTGACTTGGGAAGAATTTGGGTGTTATGGAACCCCAACACCATCAATCTAACTGTCATCACCACAACCTCATAGGCTATTCACTGCTCAATTTCAGTATTAGGGCAGAATGTTGACTTCTTTACATCATTTGTTTATGTTGCTAACATTGCAACAGATAGGCAGCTTCTATGGGATGATCTAATCCACCATGCTCACTTATTCTCAAACTCACCATGGTTACTAATGGGTGATTTTAATGTTATTCCAAATATTAGGGAAACTCATGGTGGTTCAATGAGATGGAGCAATGCAATGACAGATTTTAATGACTATTTGCAAGAAACAGAACTTGAAGACTTGAAGTTCAATGGAATTCTCTATTCTTGGAGCAATAAGAGCTTGGGAAATGCTTGCATTGCTAAGAAATTAGATCGAGCATTGGTAAACCTTAGATGGACTGAAACCTTTCCCTTATCTGAATGTACCTTTCTTCCTCCAAACATTTCAGACCATAGTCCAATTCTAGTAACATTGGATCTTAGTACCCCAAGAAGACATATACCTTTTAGATTTTTTAATGCTTGGTCCCTGCATCCAAACTTCCATCCATCAGTTTATGCTGTTTGGACTAAATACATCAAAGGCACTGCTATGTTTCAGGTGGTCCAAAAACAAAAGCTACTAAAGCATGTGCTGAGATCAAACTGCAAGAAGGAATTTTCTGAGGTAGAATCAAAGTTGCAAGCTGTGAGGCTGGAGCTGAGTGTCTACCAAATGGATTTAGACAACACACCTGGTGACCACAACCTTAGACAGCTGGAGAAAACACTTACCACTGAGCTCCTAAGGCTAGATGACATCCATGAGGACATCCTTAGACAAAAGTCAAGAATGTCCTGGCTAAGACTAGGGGACTGCAATTCAAGTTTCTTCCACAAATCAGTTTGCTCAAGGACCAACAGGAACAAAATACTCTTATTCTCTACTGATCAGGCCACACTCTCTATGACAAAAAGAATATCAAGATTGAGGTTGTTGCACACTTCCAGAATCTACTAGGGACCACACCCACAAGCACTCACCATATCAATAACCTCTCCCAATTTATTACAGCTCAATTGCCCATACACTTCCACCATTTCCTTGATGAACCACCATCCCACATAGATATACAGAATTGCATGTTGAACCTTAACACAAGCAAAGCACCAGGGCTAGATGGTTACAATGCCCTCTTTTACCATAAAGTCTGGGATATTGTTAGAAGATCTATCACTCTTGCCATTGTTGAATTCTTTAGGAATGGGAAACTTTTGGGGGAGGTAAACAATACTTATAACTGCTTGGTTCCAAAATGCCAAAACCCCACATCTCTACATGATTACAGGCCAATCTCTTGTGTAAACACCATCTATAAATGCATTGCTAAACTACTTTCAATGAAGCTGCAACAAACATTGCCTGTCATCATTGATCCATCCCAATCAGCTTTCATCCATGGCAGAAAAATTACACTCCTTATACTACTCACACATGAGCTTCTAAGGGAGTATCACAAGTAATCCAAGCTAGCAAGATGTGCCATCAAAATTAACCTGAAGAAAGCTTTTGACTCTATCAAATGGGACTTCATGCTCAACTGTCTCACTCTCCATCATTTCCAATAGAAATTTATTTCACTTGTTCAAGCATGCTTGACCTCACCATCCTTCACTGTTGCTCTTAATGGAGAGTTTCAGGGGTATTTTAAAGGGAAAAGAGGGTTGAGATAAGGGACCCCCTCTCACTTTTTCTCTTTGTTATTGCAATGGATGCCCTGTAATATCCCTAATTTTAAAAGGATAGTCTCGGCATTTTAATAATTATTTTATTGCATTTTTCTTTGTTTATTTGTTTATTTGCCTGTTTATTTTATTTTAATTAATTGATTAATTGTTTTATTTAATCGAATTGTTTTAATTAATTGAATTGTTTGTGTAATTGTTTATTTAATTGTATTTTTATTTTCTTTAATTGGGTTATTTGTTTTAATTATTTATTTTTCTTTAATGTACCTTATGTGGTAGTTTAATTAGTTGTTTTCATTAATTAGGTTAAATTAGGATTTTATATTCTTTTAGGTAGATAAGTTGTGGGACGTAGCTGACTTAGTTAGAGAATGAATTCTAGGTTTATTTTCCTTTTCATTATGGAATTAGAATTAGGTTAAATTTTTTTTGGCTATACATATATATATGTCATTACGTCGGCTGAGGGTTTTGAAATAGACGAAGGTTGAGAGAACAGAGGCACCAGTTAGGGCTACCAAGGAGGAAGGAAAAGTTTTGCTTGTGGATTTAAACCAGAGTAAAGGAGGTTGACGGTGAACGGACGTCGTCGGAAAACTTAGGAAAACGGCGACGGGGTTTTGATTCAAAACCACATAGGCAAGTTTTATTCTTTCTCTCTCCCCTTGACCTGTGTTCTGTGCATGCCTAGTTGATCTCTAGGATTTTAATCGGATATTAAATGAATCTTGCATACTTAGTTTATGTTAGATTATTCGCCTGTATATGTTTAATTTTATCTGGAATAGTTGTTGCAAAATTGGATTTCATCGTCGGACCTTAAAGCATAATGAATCGGTAACTGTTTTTGTTGTTGTTTTTAACGCAAACTGATTTAAATAAAGGATTGGGATGATACTGGATATACTTTAGACTCTTAGGTTCAGTTTTAAAGAAGAACATAAGAGTTGGAAGTGGCCGGAGATGAAATAAAAGGCTAGAGAAGGTTTAGGGCTCTCAGAGAGGGAGAGAGCCGGCTCTAGGGAAGAGGGAGCCGGCTTCCTCAAGTGTAGAGCTGGCTCTTGGGGGTTTAGAGCCGGCTCCCACCCCTCTAGAGTCGACTCCAAGGGGCATGGAGCTAGCTCCATGCATGACAGAGCCTGCTCTCAAGTTCTGAGAACAGACTCTCTTATATTAGTGCAATTTGGAATTTTTCTAGGCACTGTTCGAACGAGTTTTGTAATCTAAACTGTTTTAGGGAATGTACTGAGGGTTCTAAATGTAATTTCATGGGATATTAAACCCTCTAATTGCATAATTTATTCCGTATTGCTAATAGAATGAACAGTATGAAATTAAGCAACTTTGTATGCTGTTAACAGATAGAAATGATTAAATTGTTTAATTTTGTTTTAACAATTTAATGGACTGTAGCATGGACTCTAAACATTATATTATGCTCTATTAGAACCCACACGGCAGAATTAATGTTTTTATGCTAATGGATTTAACAGTAGAGAAGTTTAAACAATCTTGCATACTGTTAACGGATAGACAAGATTAAATTGTTTAATTTTGTTTTAACAATTTAACGGACTGTAACATGATCATAAACCTTGTTTTGGATATACAATAGGGTCAGTTATTTATCAGACTTGATCTATGCTTACTTTGGATTCTAATTGCTGAAATATTAAATTCTGTTATGCAATTACATGGATTAACGATTTAGATTCTAATTGCTGAAATATAAAATTCTGTTATGCAATTACATGGATTAATGATTTGGATTCTAATTACTGAATTATTGAACTTGGTTCTGTCAATTACATGGATTACTACTTTGGACTTTAATTGCTGAACTAGTATATCATGTTCTGTCCATTATATGGATGTTATGGATTGTATGCACCGGTATGGGACAGTGGCATACTAGGGATAGATTAGCTCAAAACGCTAAGTCCTACCTTCTTGGAATAAGGAAATGGATTGTAAAAATTGAATCCTACTTATATTTAAGTCAGATCAACTGAGTAAGTTGAGTGACTACTTGGATTAATTATTATTTGTGGTTAAGGCAAATCAACTGAATAAGTTGAGTGACTAACTAGATTAGTAATCTTATGTCAGATCAATGAACAATTGAATGACATACTCTGGTTTTGGACGGACTTTAAATATATAACTATGATACCGCGATATGAGCTTGAGTCTCAAGATTGTTGGTTAGGGAGTGTATATGCATGTGGATGCATAGCTGGCTATGACAGTTGAGGTGTACCCTGTTAGGTCTAGGTACTCATGCCCACCTCTGGTACGTTTTGCATGTTACCTTCTATTCAGGTTGAGACCACTTTGTAGTTCAGTGAGAGTCCCTTAGTGTGGATATATATATGTATGGACTAGACAGATACTGTTGAGATATCTAGAATGTATCTGCATATCGGGTCTCTGTTTGGATTGTAGTTAGAATAGAACTTGTTCATGGGCCTGACCCACTATTATTTTTCAAGTATCGGACGGTTCCAGTCTTAGGGCTTGTTCGGGCTGAGCAGAGACGGTCATTCACTCTACCAATGACGTAGGATTTCATTCCATATTTTAGATTTGGATGTTATCTTCAGTTGTTTATTTTTCAGTTGGGATTTTATTTAGGGTTCACTAGATAGATTCCCGAGTTGTACTCTTGGAGATTTTGGAAAGGTTGGATTATATTAATCTTTAACACTTGAGGATTTTATATTTAGAATTCTTTCAGCTTTATTATTTATTTCTTAAATCTTTTCGTATTCCTGCTTGTTTATATATTGATTGTTTGGTATTCCCTCGGGTTTGGGCTTAGGCCTGATTAACTCATGTTTCGGAGTAGAGGGGTATCTCATGCCCTTTCTTCCATTATCAAGAATTTTGTGGACGGAGTTCACAACTTCAAGTATCATTGGAGATGCAAGGATCCAAAGATCACCCATTTGTCATATGCTGATGACTTGTTCTTGTTTTGTCATGGGGACATTTCTTCAGTCTCAGTTCTTAAATGTGCCCTTGACCATTTCTGTTGCATGTCAGGTCTTGAGGTAAACTTGAACAAAAGCTCAATTTTTTTCTCTGGAGTTGAGGCTCACACTCAGGAAGCTATTATTTCATTACTTGGTAGTAAACAAGCTGACCTCCCAGTGAAATACCTTAGAGTGCCACTGATTACAACTTGCCTAAAAGCCTCACATTGCAGCTTGCTCATCAACAAAATCACCCAAAGAATATCCCACTGGACTTCAAGATCACTCTTCTATGCAGATAGATTACAATTAATCAAGGCTGTTTTTGATATCAATACAAATCTATTGGAGCAGTATTTTCATTTCACCAAAAGGAGTCATTGATGAGCTCACAGAATGATCCTTTATTTGGTCTGGGGTTGAGATGAAAGCTTCTGGTTCTAAGGTTGCTAGGCACAAGGTTTGTAAACCTAAAAAAGTTGGAGGGTTAGACATCCCAAACTTAGAGCAGGCAAACAAAGCAGGAATCATAAGGCACATTTGGGATTTGCAATGTGGAAGCTTGGATAGAATTTGGATTAGATGGTACAACTCCTACCTTATCAAATCCAAAAACTAGTGGTCACTAAAAATTCCACACTCTTGCTCATGGAGCTGGAGTAAATTACTGCAGTTAAGGCATCCAACTAGGCTATTAATCAATTATTTTTTTTTATTACATATATATATATATTTTTGAGTATATGTTTCATGTATAATACCACTTAAAGTGTCATAATAAGAATTACAAGTGAAGGCCTGATATGGCCTCCCATTTTGATCCTCACTCCAACAATTGATCCTCTCTTAAGCATCCATTGCTTAATATACCTAATACTCTCCTTTTTTTTTGTAATAATAATAATAATAAATAAAAAATGACTTCTCAATCTGGTGATGTAAGTTGGGATGTTTGGCCATCCGAAATGTTGAAGGCTATTGATTTGGATATTCACATTCCGTCTTTCTCAATATTCTTTATACTACGGATACTCCACATATTTTCTTTCATTTATATTGCACTTTCTTCCAAGCACGGATTATAGTTAGATTGTGCTTCACATTGATTGTAATTAGATTGTGCTTCTATATTTAAGTTTGTCTAATTATATACATATATATATATATATATATATATATATATATATTTATTTATTTATTTGTTTGTGTTTCCAATATGTTTTTATATTTTTAGTAAATTAAATAAAAATTTGTCATTAAAGAGAGGTGTGTGAAGTGGGAACCACGAATCAAATTGGGTTTTTCTTTACTTATATTGTATTATATATATACACACACACACATGTACATGAATATGGACGTGAAAATTAGGATTTTTATTCACGGAAAAAATTTGTAGCTTCCTAAATATTGAAGAAAGAAAAAATTAGGAAAAAAAGAGAGTAGTGACTCATTCATGTTAAACATTCTCGGTCTCTCTGAGTCTTTATTTCCCTGTACCCTCTCTAATGCTGGCGAGCTTAGACTTTTGCTCAGCCAGAACCAAGATGCTATTGTGCCCCAACGTTGGTCTGTGACTTTCTCCATTCTCCAATCGCTATATTCTCTTGAAATTCTGCATCCCCCGAACTATGTTTTTGTACTTTCATTGATTGGTACATACCCTAACATTTCAATCTTTTACTCGTTCAAATTTTGTAGAGAGTTTTGTGACCAATTATCATGACATAATAGAGTTGCATTATTATGAATAACCAGCTTGTTTTTCTGATTTTCACACTGCTGTTTAGCAGGAAACTT